TAGTTCTACAAAAAGGTTCATTTAAAAAACTATTATTTCTTAATGTGTATTTATTTATTGGTTTTAAAGAAAAAAGGTCTTTAAAAACAAATAAAGATAAATCGTTTTTCCATATAAAAGTAAAACATAAGACATTAAATATGTTCAGTTTATAAACATCTAGAATCTTCATATAATCAAAAAAATATTTTAAATGTGAAAAGCGATCCGCCTAATTAACTACGCGGATTGCATGTTTCTGACGGCGATAAAGATGTTGTAATTTACTTTTATCCGTACTTCCCCAGGCGATGATTGCATAATTTATATAGTTATGTATAAATGAATAATTACTTGGTTAAAAACGTTTTTTTGCGCAGGAGTGAAAGATAATCCATTTTGTTTTGTTAATATTTAAAGTTAATTTATTAGCTTTGAACCAATTAGAAATGTGATTTAGTTCTTTGTTTGCAGTTGAAAAGAGTTCATAAATACCAGTATGGGATAAGAAAAGATTAGTATCATCAGCAAACATTATACTTTTCAATTTGATAGCTTTGTTTAAGTCGTTTACATAGATTAAAAATAGTAGTGGTCCGAGAATAGAACCTTGTGGAACACCACAGGTTATGCTCAGGGGTTCACTTAGCTGACCATTATTACTATAAACAAGTTGTTTTCGATTTGTTAAATAGCTTTCAAACCATTTTAAGATTCTATTGTTTAAACCATAATGTTTAATTTTTTGGATTAAAATATGATGATTGACCGTATCAAAAGCTTTTGATAGGTCAATAAAAAAACCTAGTGTATATTGGGATTTTTCAAAAGATTCAGAGATGTTAGGTATAAACTGAATAATGGCATGTTCAGTTGAACTCCCTTTTCTGTAGCCATACTGATTGTTATGAAGTAAGTTGTTGTAATTAAAATAATTGTATACCCTATTGAAGATAATTCTTTCTAAAATTTTAGAAAATATAGAAAGAACAGAGATGGGACGATAATTACTGATATTGGATCTGTCGCCTTCTTTATGGATAGGGGTAACCCTGGCAAGCTTTAAACGTTCAGGAAAAATACCTTGATGGATAGATGCTCTGAAAATTTTAAAAAGAATATTTTTTAATTGTTCGTAGCAATCTATAACAATATTTCCGTTTATTTCATCTGCACCAGGTGCTTTATTTTTTTTTAAAGATTTGAAAGCTTTTTTAAACTCATCAAATGATAGTTCGGCAGATAATTCTTCAGAGCAAATATTTTTATCAATAGGTATCAAAAAATTATAAAATGAGGTTTGGGTTTTTGGTATTTTACTTGACAGAGTTTAATATATTGAATCAAAAAACAAAAGTTTACCCTGAAACTGACCGTATCAAAGCTTTCAGTTTCGAACCTTCTTTATCATAGCCAGCTGTAAAAAGATGCAGTATTTGTTTGTCTGTACTTGCGAAATGACATCCTCACTTTTGTAGTATAGGTACAAGGAAAAAAAATGTACAGAAACTTGTCGTAGAGGACCGTAAGAGTGCTGAACAAATAGCAGCTGATATGATCTCTAAAAAAAAAACTTTCCAGAAGGTACTGTCAAACTTAGTCGAGCAAGTGGAGGTAACTCTTTAAAAGTTCTACCAAGACATTCAGCAAAGTACAAACAGCAGCTATTTACTGCTGAAATATTGGTTCAAGTTCAAAACACTACAAATTTTTGCAATATTGGTGTGAAAAGGCTGAACAACTAAATGTAAAAAAGAGCTGTAGAGGCAAACGTGAAGCAAAAACTTGACAACCTCTAGCAGATTTTTTCATGATGTCAAAAGTTGTCATTCTGGAATAAGAATGTAAAACCAAGTTCGAAAAGTTGTTCACTGCAAGAACTTGAATGTCTTAATCAACCATATTTTTTCAGTAAGAGGACTTACATCACATCATTTAGTTAAACTTGGAATTGATGGAGGTGATTTATTCTTGAAAATTACCCTCAGTGTAATTGGCACATAATTTAAGCAAAGTTATAGTCAAGAATCATCATGTCTCCAACCAAGTTCTTCTGCCCGGGATGGTGGTGTAAAAAAACAACTGATTTTTGCTGCAGCAGAAGGTATTTCTGAAACATATGAAAATCTTTTTCTTGGAATTTTCAACTATTTTTTCAAGCAACTCCTTGAAATATGGGATCAAGCACAAGAATGATTGAATCGCTTGCACCTTCAAATGCAAGCATATCATTTCAATTGAAATGAATGCAACAAACTGTTAAATAAAGCTTATTTTTGAATAATCTTGGAGGAAGGATTTTCTCAAAATATTTCAGTGTTCAAGCATCACCTAGCTCTTGAAATTTCAGTTACTCCCAAGGTAGATGCAATTTTTCATCATATTAAGAAATTTGCTGAAATAAATAAAACTGGACTCGGAGTTTTCAGTGAACAAACCACTGAATTGATGCATGCTAAATTCAAGATCCATTGGCAAAGGTTTAAAAGGCAACCTTTTAATCCTGAATATGAGGACAAACTTCTAAGTTGAATCATTGATTTTAACAGCAAACACGCTTGAAATCAAATCACAGTCAGAGTATATTTTTGTGTGTATTATTACTTATTTTTGTCTGAAGATCAATAGTCTGGATATCAAAAGAATATCTAGTCTCAAATTTGTATTGGTTTAAACTACATTGTAATTCAGTGTATATATAATTAAAATATGTGCACATTATTTTGAAAAAAATTGTTTTAAATAAACCCAAGCTTAAGAATAAAATTTTAATATCAATTTCTTTTGATTTTTTATCCAACTAAAAAATCAAAAAAAATTTAATATACTATATTGTATATTGATACAGTAGTATTGGAATGTATATACAAATATTCTTAATTAAAACATAATTTTGAATCTAAGGTATTTTGTTTACTGATATTTGTAAAATGAAAGGTAAAAAAAGCGTTTTTTTGAACTTTGGGGAGTGCAAACACTTTTTGAAAATAAAGGTTTTTGGTTTATTTAGGCGGAAACTTTAAATGCAATTTTTTGATTTTTGAGATTGCTAACTTCCAGGTATGGAGCGAACTTCAAACATTTATATGTTTATACTTATATCAAATAAGGATGGTTTGCAAAAAATTGCAATGATTTGAGCCTGGGAACAAAAAAGCCACAAAATTTGCGCCCCCCTGCCCCAAACGTGAGAGCAACAAGTTTATAAAATATTTTTTGTACTAATTTCAACTAGACTTACATTGATCGATAAATTTTAAATTTCATAGTAAAATATTTAGCGTTCAAAAGTTATGATCATATAAAGTTTGCGACCCCCTCAAATTGAGGGAGGTTTAAACTTTAAATGGTCATAACTTTTGAACGCTAAATTATTTTACTATGAAATTTAAAATTTATCGATGTAAGTCTAGTTGAAATAGTACAAAAAATATTTTATCAACTTGTTGCTCTCACGTTTGGGGCAGGGGGCGCAAATTTTGGGGCTTTTTTGTTTCCAGGCTCCAATCATCGCAATTTTTTGCAAACCATTCTTATTTGACTTAAGTATAAACATATGTTTGGAGTTCGCTCCATATCTGGAAGCTAGCAATCTCAAAAGACCAAAAAATGCTTAATCCGGCCCTGGATCTAATTAAAAGATTTTAATTTTTTCTTTAAAGTGATTGCTATTACTTATAGAATCACCCTTCCGAGGGATCAATTCCGAAGAGGTTAGGACCCTTTTTTGGACAACTGTGTTCAAGAAAACTATTTGGTTATCCGGAAAAAAAAAAAAATTTTTAGGAAATATCCGAAAAAGGATAATCCCTGGTAGCGGCACTTTTTTTTGCCCTGTTCTGTCTAATCATTTATGAGATAAATGGTTACTCATTTTGGTCAAATAAAATTCGAGTTAAATTCATTTTTCGAGATGTATGCTTTCCCATTACAATAAAAAAAGATTAAAGTGTTTAGTTAGCTTGACTTTTTCTGTACTTAATTAAAAAAAGGCATTTATCAACAAAGAAATTTAATTTAAAAAAGAATTTTTGTTGCGAGTATTTTGTATTTAAGATTTCGTATTTCAAAAAACGTTAACTTAAATCACATGTTATCGAATATGGGCATGAACTCCGTTAGCACTCTTTCATTGTTAATGACTGACATCTTCACTTTTATTTATATTATTATAAAAAATAAAAAAATAAAAAAAAGCGCAATCATACTTGTTAAAAATATATATAAGATTTATATAAAATATAACAAAAATAATGAGTATTAATTACAATTACAAATATTGTTGAAAATTATACCTATAAAATATACAATTATTAAAGTATTAAAGAATAAAAATTGATAAATAAACTAAAATATATATATATATATTTATAATATATTTCAGTTTCTGATATAACTATATATATATATATATATATATATATATATATATATATATATATATATATATATATATATATATATATATATATATATATATATATATATATATATATAATATATATATATATATATATATATATATATTAAGATATAAAAAAATTAGAAAAAAACATTCATTTCAAAAAAATAAAGACAACATTTTTCATTCTAATCAATTTAAAAAACATTTTTATTTTTCAAAAAAGAACATTTATTTTTTTAATTTCAAGATATAATGTGAAAAAAAGCATTAGAAATAATTATTTATTTTTTAAAGTTTTTCAAGATCGCCAAGATCATCAATTTCATCGAGATTCGTTAGAATAAAAATTAATAATAAGTATTTATAGTTCAAAAACTTTCCAGAAAAAAAAACGTTGTATTCCACAATACAAAATTACTAATCTAAAATATAATTCTTAATATGAAAAAAAAGACTATAAAAACTATGATTTACAATATAAAAAAGACAATAAAAATTATGATTCACAATATAAAAAACAAGCTTATCTAAAATACAATCAATTTAAAGTTTATTTAATTATATTAGAACTGATGACAATTGATTCAGAGTGATGAAAATATATAAAATATTTTTCTTCGTCATTTTTTCAAGAGCGTTACAACTTCGGTAAGAATACTTATGAACTTGTGAACGTCAACAAAGCTATTGTATAAAGGGGCAGGTGCAACACGCATAACATTTGGTTGGCGAAAATCACACTAAAAAAAAAATATTGGAAATTACTAGAGTAGAACTTTAGACCTAGTAAACTACAAAAACTTCCAAAATCCAAATCAAACATAGATGTTGCGAACTTTTTCTAACTTATTACTTCGACTTTTACATGTGTTCTTTTCTAATTTGTTGTATTATTGTCATATTCTAAATTTAGAAAAATTATAATACAAATTTTAAAATAAACCAACACACAACATGAATAAGTTCATTACAATTATAAAGTTGCTCAAAATTTCTTACATAAAATTGTATTATTTAAAATATGAATAAATATCACAACAACAAAGTATTTAAAAAGCTTTTTAGATTTATACCTATTTTCTAATGTCCAGTTAAAATATTTAATTAACTAAAATAAAACGGTAGTTCTTTATAAAAATAAAACGGTAGTTCTAAATAAAAGTTTGTTCATCTTATCCAAAAGTAGTTTATTTGGGACATTTTCTTTTTTTCATAAGTGTAAGTACCAACTTTATTTTTAAACCGATAATCATAATTTGTAAATATTGTGATTACTGAATAATGTATTTAGCTAAATTTACTCATGCTTGAAACTGGTTAACTCTTAACCCATGAATACATAGTATTCATGGGTAGCCATTTTGTAAAATACTTGCTAGTGGCGTGCCTTGGAGGTAGCAAATGTTGTGTATCTTAATGGTACCACCAAGGTACACACTTGCTTAATTTTGTGGGTTTTAGGAGTAAAATTTGTTTAAAAGTACTTCTTTAAGAAATTTATGAAACATACTGTAAAGAAAGGAAAATCCATTCATTTTTCTACTTGACAACCAGGAGAGCCATTTATTGATACCAAAAATCCAGCTGACAAAATATAATGGATTAAAATGGTAACATTTCATACACACACGAGTCAAAAGCCGCAGCCTTTAGACAAAGGCCTATTTGGCTTATTTAGGACTTATTACAACAATAAAATGAAGAATTGGATGTAAAAACTGGTAATGTTGGGAAACCAGAAACAATCTGTGTCAGAAATTGTTGGACAAGCTTTTTCTTAAAGGCTGATTTCCACTTACAGATATTTTTCAGCAAAACGGAACAGAATAGAAAATTATCCAATCATGTAAAGTGAAGACCAGCCCAAAAAGCAAAAATATCAAAAGACTTTTTGAGCAGGTTTGGGTCATCAATTTATACTGGGGTGACTAACTGCAGTCCTACTTCTTTTGCAAACCTGATAAGCACTAACATTATGTCTCCTAAAATAATTCTGTTTTACTCAAAAGCTCAACCAAAAAAACAAAATAGAAAGGATAGTCATGAAAAAAAAGTCATGCCTAAATGTGGAATAGAGAATGTGGAATACCAAATCACAGTGAAAGACTTTTTTGCCATTTAGTTATTTTTTTAATAAACTTAATTATTTTTCATGTATGCTTTTAATTTTAATACTTTTAATTTTAAATTAGTTAGATTTATATTAGCTTAAATAAGGCTGATGTAAAGTCAAATTTTCTTGTAAGCAATATAAAAATATTTTATCATGCTAATTATTTCATCTGTTAAAACAATAATACTTCCAAGCTACACCATACATACCTCCAAAGTACACCACCTGTGGTGTAACTTATTTTTTGTAGCTGTAGTGTAAGCTATTTTTTAAAAGCAAAAAAAAGGGTATAAAAAAGGGGTAAAATAATATGTCTATATGTTTAATAAAAAAAACACAGAGTACTTGGTATAATTAGGTTAAAGAAAAAATATTTTTAAAGAATTTATCATTAGTATTTGTTTATATATATCAAAATTTGAAAAAATTATATAGATTTTATTTCCAAAAGTTTATAGATTCTAGTTACTTGGAGGAATAAAAAAAAAAAAAGAGATTGCACAAAATCTTTGAACTTAATTTACAAACCAGATTTTATGCTGGTTATAAAGAACTTGGAAATATTTTCCAAAAAAAAAATAGCAACTGATCTCATCAGTACATAATATTAAAAAAAAAAAAAGCATTGAATATAAAACTCGATATATGGCTACTTCATAGCCCAATAGACCTGATTCAACAGCAAAATTGTTTTAGTGGATAACTAACGAATTTGTGAGATGTGAGATAATTATATTAAAAAGTAACAAAGATAAATATTAATAATGAAAAAAAATTAATGAAACAATTCATCAAAGTGGGCAAGAAAATTTTGAGCAAAAGATCAACTAATCCTAACATAGTTTGGGTATAAAACAAGAACACACCTGTGTATAGCTACAACACAAGCTGAGATCTAGGACAGAGGCTCAAACTTAGCAGCTAAAGCAGGTTTGACTGTGTTTACAAAGAGTTTTTGAGACTTGTCTAAAAGAGAAAAAGTATCATTAGAAAAACTAGTCCACATGATAACAGTGTTTCATACCTAAAATAAACAAAAGATTTTTGGAGTTCAAGAATCAAATCAACCTTAGCAGACGTTAACTAGTGAAAATAATTTTAAATGATGTAATGTTGAGGACTCATTAAGAGTATTGCTGTTTATCATAAATGTCAAAATATTTCAATAATTATTAACAGTAAATAACTGAATTTTTAGCAATCAAAAAGAAATTAATTTTTGTTTAAAACATTTTCTAGATTTCTAGAGATTTAAAAAATCAAACTACAAATGGCATTTTCCAGCAGAAAACAGAAAAACATTCAACTAACCATTTGTTAATATTTTGCTGTTTATGGTTCTTTTAGTTAATATATATTTAACATTTCATTACTCTTTTAGTTAATATATATTTAACATTTCATTAATATATTTAACATTTCATTACTTTCATTACATATACATTAAAAAGAAAGATGAATTGATCTAAATCTGGAAAAATTCAAAATAAAATAAAACAGCCTTAAAAAAAAATTTAACAAAATTTTTATTAACCGAGGAAACCAAGATTTTAATGCACATGGTACACTTGAAAGTCATTATCATATTTAAATCAAACCCACAACTGATGGGTACTTGACTCTTACAAAATGCATTGCACAATAAATATTTGGTAAATCATTAATAATTTAACTTATTTTCAAGTTAAAACATACATGAAATCTGGTTATATACCAGACTTAATGTATATTACCAACAATTATGTATTGACAACATCACAAAGTAAATATCATAAAGTAAATAAATGATAATAAAAATATGTATATAAAGTAAGAATTCTGGAATGAAATTTTTCATTAAAAACATTTTTTCAATTTATAAAGGGAGGCAACACAAACAAAATCAAGGAGGATTCATTTAACTTTGGCAATATATATAGAAATTTTCTAAAACTAAATATAAATATTACATAAAACTTATTATTGAGATAAACATAACACAAACGGCTTAATACAAAAGCTATTCTGTATACATCATTTATAATGATCTCTCATAATTTCATTTAAACACTTTTAAAATTTTAAATTTCTCTGTTATCTTTATTTCTGTTTCTTGTAAACATGTTATAATATTTAAATTACTAACTTTAATATTTAAAACTGCTTAAACTATTTAAATTATCATTATTACTTTTTCTATTTAAGTTTATTTTATTCCTATTTTATTAGTTTTGCTTTCTTTGTTTTTAAAACTTTTTAAAGCAATACTTAATATTATAAAACTTGCAAACAGCCGTGACTAAGTTGTCTAAAATAAAATACTCATGAGTGGTCATACAAGACGAAAAACTGCATGCATTTCCTGGGAAGGCTTGAAATAACTATATACTTAAAAAAATATTCTTACCACAACACCTCTTCGTTTTAGTTCTGCAAATATTTCTGTGCCATTACAAGAAAATGCTAATGATAGCTGACTACCTCGTGATGTTAAATTTTCTGGTGTAATAATACTAATAAATATTCCAGAATTGTTAGAACTGCTATTTATGTCAGAGCCAAATTTATACTTTATCAAGTACTCTAGGTATCCTAAAAAAAAAATTCAAAACATAAAATTATGTGTGTGTGAGTGTGTGTGTTAAAAATAAAAACAACATTTTTTAAAAATATCTGCAGCAGGTACCAAAATGTGTTCTGCATGATAATATAACACTTTATTTAAAAATTTTTTGATTAACCAGGCTTGGTCGGGAAGCGGGAGCGATCGCTCTCGAATACTGACCACGGAAATTATATTTAGTTGCGTAAAACTGGCCAGGTTTTTTAGTCGTTTTGAGAACATTTAAGTTTATGTACGAAACAAAAAATTTTTGTTTTACAGACATACATGGAAACATAAAAAACTTGAATGTTCTCAAAACATCTTTGTGCGAAAGAATAAAAAGAATGTTTGCGAACACTAAAAACCCGCCAAATTAACGAACAAACTAATTCTATTGGTTCAAAAAATACGCTGATTAAGTGAAATAAAGTTCTAGAGTATTCTGTTAAAATGTTTTAGAAATTGTATTATTCACGATTTGTTACGTTTTGAGATTTTTAGCATTGTTTTAAGAATTTATATTATTTGTTTACGAAAATAAATGTTTTAAATATATATTAGTTGAATTGTTAAAATTTTCAAAGTTTATTATAAATCATAGATTTTATTAGTATATTTTAATTTTTTATTTTAAAAGAGATTGTATTCTTTATGTAAATGTAATTTTGTGTATTTATTTTTTATCGTAATGTATCTTTTAAAGCAATTTTTATGATTTAAACAAAGACTTACAAAAATAATTGTGTTTTTAATGAAGTTTTAATCATTAAAGTTAATAAAACTAATTATGTAACAAACATATAAGAAGTTTCTGGTTACTAAACACAAACAACGCATACAAAGTAACTCGCGGATGAACAAGCATCGCGCCTGAGGTCACGACAGAACACAAATATATATAGCAAATAATTAGATATAAAGAAAAATTTCTAGATATTGATTTACTAACTCTAATTATTTTTGCTTAAGTTGTTATTCTTAAAACTCGTTATACTTTTTTCTGCTTTAAACACTAATTAAAATTTAAAAGCCCACTCACTAAACATCATCAGCGATATTGTGAAGCAGTTTCGCTTCCTGGTCATTAAGTATTTTTAACCTTTTTAGTTGATTTCTATCTTGATAATTTGATTCTTATAGTAATTCAATGATTTAATTATTTCATTTGTTTATCTTACTAAGAAGAATCGCTTTAAATATGTTAAACTTTTCAAACTACGCGAAACATAAAATAGGTATTGAAAAAATTAACTTTTTTATTTATAAAATAAATTAAGCTTAAGTAAAACTAAAACTTGCAAACTTAGTTAAATAAAGAATATTTGTTTTCCTTTTAAACAATCTTTTAAGTTGACGGTTGTATGTTTCTATAAAAAGTTGATGTTTCTATAAAAAACATTGCTTAATTTTATAAAAAAAATTATAAAAGAGCGATGTTTCGAAAATATTTGTTTTAAATGTTTTAAATTAAAAATTTAAAAAGCTTTAAATTTTTTCGCGTTTAAAGATATTTTATTTGCCTATTTTTTTTTTTTTTGTAATTGTCTCTCGTCGGTCCAATTAATCTTTGTCGCTTTTTTTTTTTTGCTTTTTAAAATGTTCTCAAAACGACTTAAAAATCTGGCCAGCTTTTCGCAACTAAATATTATTTACGTGGTCAGCAATCGAGAGCGATCGCTCCCGCTTCCCGACCAAGCCTGATTAACCCTTTAAAGGGTTAAATTAAAATTCTTTGAGTGAGAATTTTTTCCAATTGAGACAATAAATATTTCTCTAATAAAAATTTTTTAAATTTAAAGAAATATTTATTGTCTCTAATGAAAATTAAAAATTTTTTTTTGCTGACACGAGCAGTTTTTGAGATATGGGTTGTAGCCATATGGATAATATTATGGGAAGTGATTTAAAGTTTTTATCATCCTAACTCTAAAAAGTTTGATATATTTTTTCATTTCATCAACCTGTATAAAAATCAACTTTGTATAAAAATTTCAAAAATAATTTTCATTTCGAAAAAAAATTGTTACTTTTTGTTTTATTACATAAAAAATTGCATTAAAAAAAAAAAAATGAAAATAATGCATTTTTTATTATTTATTTTATAATTTCGATAAATAAGTTAAATTTATTTCAAAATAAACATTATTTTTGAAATTTTTATATAATTTCGCTTCATTTGAGTACCAGGTTGACATATTTTTGAAAAACATTTTTTTTGAAAATATTAGGGAGATTTTTGAGGGTCATGTGGCACCCCTTAAAATATTTTTTATTCAAAAAAAATTTAAACTTAGTGTTTTTGTATTAGATAGAACACGTTTAGGGGGTGTCAACAGACATTTTCAAAAAAAGTTGTTTTTAGCACCACCCTAATATATATATATATATATATATATATATATATATATATATATATATATATATATATATATATATATATACAAATAGTATTGCGTACTAAGGTAAGCAATCTAATGTCATACTGAATAGCCTGCTGCTGGGGGCTTCAGTACATACATCGACTGACAAATAGCCTGACTCGCAATGGAGTGCTGTTACATCGACTGAGGGTTTGTGATGGGGAAGCAATCGTTTCATTCATCATTCTTCGTTTTTTCTTCTTCTTTTTCAAAAAAAAAACGGTAAAGCTTAAGGTAAGCAGAAAAAGTGAGCAAATGCTTATCAAAACACGCTTTAGTAAGTATGTATGTATATATATATATATATATATATATATATATATATATATATATATATATATATATATATATATATATATATACAGATATATATATATATATATATACAGATATATATATATATATATACAGATATATATATATATATATATATATATATATATATATATATATATATATATATATATATATATATATATATATATATATATATATATATATATATATATATATATATATATACAGAGGTGTACACTGAATTTTATGTTTGAGTTTTGACATTAACAGGCATTGCGCAAACTCCTATGTTCATTCTTATGTCAAATAATATTTTATAGAGATTTACGGTGATTGGGGCTTGGGAACAAAAAACCCTTAATTTTTAGGCCCACCCAGCCCTTATCATGGGAGCAACGAGTTTATAAAATATTTTCTTTGCTACTTTTATCTAAACTTATATTCATCAATAAATTTCAAATTTCATGCAACAATTTTTTATTTTTCAGTTTTTATGACCCTGCAAAGTTTAGAGCACCCTCAAATCGAGGAGGGTTAAAACTTTATAAGATCATTTTTCAAAATATAAAAGATTAATATATGAAATTTGTTATTGATTACAATACATAAATACATATATACATACAAACATACATACATACATACATATATATATATTAGGGTGGAGTGAAAAAAATTTTTGTTGAATATCTTGGTTGGATAGCTATAAAAATTTTTTGACATATGCAATTAGTAATGTGGCAAACAATCAAACGATTTAAAGCATATCTTGAGGTTCCACAATTGACCTGAATTATAGGCATATTTCAAATAAAAAACAATATTTTTTGAAATTTCAAGTTTATATATGACAACATATTTGTGTACCAGTATACATTTTTAACAGTCTATACGAAAGTTAAAAGTAAATAGAACTAAATATTTGAAAAGAAAAACACATGAAAACTCTAGTCAAACATGTTTTTATAGCTACAAATGATGTTGTGCTTTAGTGTCCAGTTTCGGCATTTTTGATCTTGATTCCAAACGTGCTCTTATAAATCCGTCGCGTTTTTCTGGACCGCAAACCGCTTGGGAAGCTTCTGTAACTAGCTTAATATGCCTCTCCACCGATTGAGCGTGACAAGGATAGCGGGCGAAATCCAGTCTTGGTGTATCTTCTTCCCGGATCATGGTTAAAAAAGTATCGTCATCAATGTCCATTACGATTGGAGGCTCTGTGATTGGAGTTTTTTGCCAATCGATCATGTCTATGTAACTGGTAGCTTCAAAATTGATTACTGGCACACAGAAAGATCTAACTGAAATCGTGCGCTTCTGCTTCCTGGATTTCATTATACGTCTCAGAGCCAACTCGCGTATTTCTGATTTTTCGTCGGTAAGCATCGCAAGCAACAGAAGTAATTTTTATTTCAAACCATGCTGGTGCATAAACTGTTACGATGAAGGTAACCATTGTCTTCAATTCATCCGATGGGCATCTTGTGGCTATATACAGGCGTAGTATTCGATTAGCCGTTGCTAACCATCTTGAATGATTGATAACACCAGGATTGCGAAGTGAAAGGCCTACAGGACAAACGCCAACACTGACAGCGGTGCACAAGTCAAACAGATATTTTTGATCTGTACTTAAATCGTCAGAATTTAAACCTGTCGGTAGAACACAGTTTATGGGTGTGTATTTGACAACGGGAAGCTTCTCACATGCCACCAATGATTTTCCGATTGGACCAGAAAATCCTTTTGGTCCATCTAGATGTTCGAACAAATGCCTTAATGGTAATTCGTTAGCATGTAGCTGACATACGAACCATTGCAGCGGTTTGTTCAACGCCACTTCAAGTAATCGAATGATACCTCCTCGATTGCCTGTATTAGCAACGGTTCCGTCACAACCTACAGCTTTTATACCACCCAGGTCAACATTCTTTTTACTCAAATATGCAATCAACTCAGCCGCAATAACTTTGCTTGACCTTGCAATTGGTGTAATGTGGCCAAAATAGATGGATCCTGGTTCGGATATAATGGATATATGTTCTTCAGTTGTTAGTTTTCGATGAAATTTCCCATCACATTCTTTAATAAGGGTTATTGTACTGTCTTTTCTTCCATCAAAATATAGCCCAGTGATTGTGTTACTGACATTGGCACATAATGTTCCACGTTTTTTACAACGCTCTCGTCGCACTTTACTTCTGTCAATCACTTTAGAAACATCCCTTTCGTGGATTATTCCAACATCTTGAAGAACAGCACTGGCGATT